GGTTACAGCTTTTGAGCTTCTGTACCACAGTTATTCAGCTGAGAACAGCTCTGGTTTCTTAAGAGACAGTTAGATGGAATGTGTCTCTTTGCATTCCTTGCCTTCTTAGCATGGAGAAGGTACAAAATGTCACTGTAAGACATCGGCAGCTGTTAACCATATGTGGGAAATTATTTGCAAAGCAATCACTTTCTAAGCTTCCTTTATCTATCACTTGTTATTACAAGCTAAACATGCAGCATACTTCACATGGAAAGGGGTTGCTCCCTTTTCTGAGAGTATTAGTACACCACAGTGACTTGCAGGTAATGTTGCTCAGCTCTCAGTATATATGTATTTATATGTATCAGTATATATTAAAAAGATGCTTATATGAGGTTTTGACAGTGGTTTAGCTAAGCATTAAGCCCTAACTTCATTGGAAAAAAACATCTTTGATTCAGGCTAAGTTACACAAGATGCCTTTCAGGAACTTGATGATAGTTTTCTGTTCACAGTCCAACCAGAAACATCCTTAGAGAAAAGCCATTACATTGACTGCACTGAAGGCACCTTTCAACCTTCAGTCATTTTTTGTACAAAAAAGGCAGGAATGCAGGATACAAACCTAGATGTAAGCGTGGTGGTAGTGAGCCAGTTGAAGAGCAGTTTCTAGCACTGTTTAAAAAGAAAACAAAGGAGTCAGTATAACTACAACACTGCTGTACATTTCTGTGCTCCGAGGAGCCTGTTTTACAGAACATAAGATCCTCTTGAGACCTATGCAGGATGAGGGTAGCCTGCCCTCTCCTCTTTCTCTTTCCTTTTTTAAGTGTAAGTAGATCCACCATTATGTCTCCGTTACTGGAGATACTCAAAAGCCATCGGGACATGGTGCTGGGCAGCTGTAGGTGACCCTGCCTGAGCAGGGAGGTTGGACCAGGTGATGTCCAGAGATTCCTGGCCTCCTCAACCACCCTGATTCTCTGAGCTGACAGTGGCCCTGAGTTCATACCCACAGTGCCATAACACCTTTGTGTACCTATGATCTCCCTCCTGTATTCATTTCTATTCTTTTTGGTTAGAAAACCTACAGTTCCCTTTTATGGCCTGAGCACTTCATTGGCAACAAACTGCCTGCACTCTTTTCCTTTATAGTTCATATTTCTCTCCTGCTTAAATGAACAGCACAAAAAGCTCTGCGATAAATATGTTAATTATGTTTGCAGAACAAAACCATGCTATCATGACTTGATTCATGGGAGAGAATCAGCCAAATGGGGCCTCTGCTATAGCAAAATTTGGCAACGCTGTTTGAATGTAAGCAGAAGTGTTCATCATAGGAATAGTTCCTATTTGCATACGACCTTGCTTTTGCTACTGCAATATTTGTTCTACTGAGGTGTCAGCAGCTCCAGAGGATGATGGTAAACGGGAGGAATTCATCAAAGAGCCATTGAAAAAATACAGAGCTTAGAAAATGTACTTGAGACTTAGACTCAAGGAGTCCACTGTAACTCATCAAAGCTTGGTCTGTTGCACACTGCATCAGAAATCAAAATTTAATTAAGGGCTCCTCCATCTAGCAAATGAAGACATAGCAATCTAATACTTAGAAGCTGAAGCTAGAAAGAAAACACAACTGAAGCAAGGCTCACAATTTTAATAGGAATTTTAATGGTTAGAGTATATTCCACATTCAATTCTAGACAGCAAAGGTGGTGGGGTTTTAGTTCTGAAGCAATTATTAGTCACAGCTGTAGCACTTAGGCTCCTACAGCAGAGTCCTGTTAGAGAAGAACCTCTGCCCTACATCCTGCACAGGTTTTCATGATGATTATCCTTTCCCAAAAGGTCTTGTCATTCTTAGGGATGCTGGAGGCAATGGCAGAGAACAGAAGCATTGGACCATGTAGGCCCTAAAATACTGCCTTGATATAAACCTGAGAGACTGGTTTTATTTTGTTGCCATATGTCCAGTATCTGCTTCACTGGATACACAGCTTCAGTTATATGAAGGATTCTCCTTGATAGTAGGAACAACACAAATTATCATGTAGTGGAGGCAAGGATATAGCCTGAAAAATAATGGATTACTTCAAGTCGTTGCCTTGTGTTCACCTGAGAACCCTGTACATACCATTATTTGTTAAATTGCAGAGAGATTCACAGGAATGACACAATAATGGGTGAAACAAACCTTTCTGCACCAGGCAGAATGTTGGAGCTTGGTTTAGGTGGAGGCTTGACAGATTTGGATGGGAATGTATTGGAGCTGTATGGGGGCAAAGATATCTGTGGCACTGTTCTTTGGGGTGCCGCTGTGGAGAGAAAGAGAAGGAAATGTCAAACTTGTGAGATGATAGTCTTAAAGGAGGTAGAATGAAGAACTGGTGTCACATTGCTGCTGTTTAACTAGATAATCATAATGGAGGAAACGTTCTATAAAACGTCTTTGATATCTTAGTTACAGATTGTAAGCTCAGATGGTCAAGTGAGAACTTAATCTTAAATATTAAAATTACAAATAAACTGGAATGGGTTGAGCAACATTTACATTTACATGTTCTACCTTCCGTTTTGGACAAGCCAAAATTCAGATGACTGCCATGGAGCTGAAGATGGTACGTAACTATCCGTTCTCTGTTATGTTGCTTCTAAAGAGTGCACTTGAGGTTACCTTCCTGAACTTCATTCCTTTGTGAAATGTCTCCCATATCATCATAAACAACAGCATAAAATAAAACATTTTCTTCTGCAGCTACTGGTAAGAGGGGAGTAGATTAGCTGCTCTCTGCACAGCTCAAACAGCCCTCTTCTTCATTGAGGCTTAGAGGCAGTGATAATTTATAGACTTGGCCAAATGTTCTGCTTCTGTTAGGCCATCACTTTACAAACTTCATTTTAGGAACCAGGATTCTGAAGTAATTTATAAATACCAGTATTACATGAAACAAGTTCTACTTCTGTCCATTAGAGTAAACAACATTGCACAGAAGACCAGCAGGGTCTGACGGGATGTTTGGTTGCAGGCTGGGAGGATACCAGGTCTAACATGCCCAGCTGCCTGATGTTGTTTGATGCTGTGTGCAGACCACAAATATCTAAAATGAAATGTATTTCAAACTAAGGAGCCCTGCTGTCCTGTAAGTGGCTGACTATGAAGGGTCTATTAGCTATTGATTTCCTGTGTTTTGCAGCTTTGATATATACATCCGTAGGAGGTGTCTTATAAGCACTCTACAACACTTCAAGATGCCACCCGACATTTTGAAATGGCTTTAAAGAAACAACTTTGCAATCCCTTTTTTCTTTTTAGAACTAAGAAAGACTTAAAGTTTTAAAAATCACAGTGGAGATACTCACTGCCGTCTTCTTCCTGGGGAGCCAAAAGAAAAGAAACATTAGCAACATGTTATAGCACAGGTCTTAGGAATGTTTTACAAAACAAAAACCTGGAAGTTGGTGAATTTTAAGTATACAAGGACTCCAATTCTATACTGTCACTTTCATCCAAACTGCTGGGATTTCTATCTTCATCCAACACCAAATCATTTTTCAAGCTCTATTATTACAAATAAGGTGTGAGGTAGATGGATCTTGACCCAAAGTATTAAGAAATTCTCAGCTGATGTAAACTTTCCCCATTCCATCAAGAAGTGCAGGCTATGAGTTATCTGAAAGTGAACTCCTTAGGCCAGCTTAAGCTGGAAAAGAACCCCCAAACCTAGTGTAAGCAAAGTCACTTCTCCCATGACAGAAAAAATTCTGGTCTTATTATGTATCCAAGATAAATTACTCTGGGAATAAACTGAGCTTGACATAGAAGAGCTGTTCAAAAAGAAACCCAGAGTATTTTTTATAACTGATAAAAGAAATTAGTTTACCTTTTCCAGAATTATTAATTTATACAGGTACTTCATTTTATTGTAGTCCCTATACATTTAAGCATTTGCTTTGAGACTATACTTACTTGAGGCGTTTTGTGTAGTGGCCAACCCTGCCTGAAATGAAACAGAAAACAAAACATGAATCACAGGTGGAATGTTACTCATGTACTTTGTGTGCATTAGGCTGTATTTTCAACTAAGATATGAATTTGTAGCAAGTATACAGACCTAATGAATGCAGAAACATTTTTTCCCCTCATAAAAATACCTGAGATTCTAATTTCCACCTCTAAGATATCACACTAGTCCTTAGCCCATCTCAACTCTATCAACAAGGAAAACATCTGATGAATTAATCATGATATTAGAATTTAAAACAAGTTTGTACAATTATGGAGCATTAAACTGCAAGTCTTAAACTTCTTTCTAGTCCTTAGCGACACTGCTGGAGCACACACTAAGCCTTCCAGTTATCCTTTGGCTGATAAATTATCCTGGCCGATTAGCAGATCTTGATTACTTTCTTTTCCTGTTTTAAGAGCAGTCACACTATTGAACCCACAAGTTATCTAGAAATGCTGGAGAATGATCTAGTTCTGCTGTTTGCTGCTGAGAAGGAGCTTTGCAGGTGAGTAAAATCAATGGTAGGAAAGTAAAGCTTTCTTTTTCTAACATCCTAAAAACAATAGCCAGAGAACTCATGAAGGAATGTTCCCCAGAGCAAGAACTTGATCCGGTCAAGTTTTTGATCACCCTTCTGTTTCAGTTCTAGTAAAAATCACGGATCACACATTTCTTTGTGCAACCTGGCTGTTTCAGATGTGGCTGGGGAAATCTCCTGCATTCACACTCTTCTGTCACTTACAGCATAGCCCATGCATGTTCATAGGGCAAAACTGATAACCACAGGCACTGCTATTATGCAGAGACAGTAAGTTCTACCATCCTGTATTGCTTATCTGTGATTTTATTGAATTGAATTCATCCTTTATGAAATTTCAGTTAAATGAACACTTACTTTACAGGGGTTGGCTTCCTTAGAGGAGATGGATTGCCTCTTTCGTATCTGTCACTGGGTGGGACAGGAGGTTTTGGCATCATTGCTAGCTGTTCGCCCAGGGATCTGAAGCAAGAGCAAGATGATAAAATAAAGGCAAAAAGCTGCTTACTAAGGAATAATTGGGTAATACTTGCAATAAGAGTCTCATCTCCAGAGGCAAAACTCTTACCTTAGCTGTAAAGCCAGAGGCTGTAAAACAACAAGGAATAGTTAAGAGGATGTGTATCAAAATAGGTGAAATATATCAATAAGCTCCAAACAAAAAGACTTTACCTTTTCAGGAGTGCTGGGCTTCCTCCCTGAAAATAGTAAAAGCTTACATTCAGAAAAAATGAAAGGTAAGATCATTAAAATTTCTATGAAACAAACAGGTTTTGAACATCATTGAATGTGAATTTTGCAGATTGAAGCATTCGGCCTCCTGACACGTAAGCCAGACAGATTTTTGGCTTTGCAAGGAATGGCAAAACTGCAGTATCCCTTCTTATACATTTCAAAGTGGCATGGTTTACAAGCATATTTTCTATGGTTCAACTTTGAACTGCTGGATACTTTTATGCCATTTTATAACAAATGGAAGTGTTTAATAAATAAAAATCATAAGAGTATTCTGTTTAGATTTTCTGTAAAATGTGGTTTTCAGGTCTGAAACAAATACATTTGTTTTCCTATTTTTTTCCAGTTCTCATCATTCTTTGAAGTCTGGGTGCCAAATTACATAGAGTGATGTGTGCAGTTTCCTTAGGTTTGTATGCAAAAGTTATTTTCTCTTTTAACCTACTAAATATTTCCTTGTTCATTCACTTAAGTAATTGCCTCAAACCTTTCTTGCAGAGGGATCTCCTAATGTCTTTCTGTTCAACTAGTCCTGAGCAAGGCTTGCAACTTCCCAGATACAATTTCTCTTGCTTTGTAAGAACTGTTCATATTGTTTATTCATAAACACATCACCTTGAGTGTGATTGGATTACAGTACCTTTGGTTGAGCCTTGTTCATTTGCATGCATGATATTCAAACTGGTAATTTTGAATAATTAAAAAACCCATTGATATTAACACAAGCAAATTCTGACCTGGTCCAGGGCTTTCTCTTTCAAATGGTGGAGCAAGGCGATCCAGTGAGGGCTTTGTGCTTCTGTCTATAGAAGGAGCTGGGGCTAAACACGACAGTTGTGTAAGATCATTTTCTACTATAGGTCAGTATGGCTTTATTTTGCATGGCCATGAGCTGCTGTTACTGCTTAGAATAACAACCGAGGCTACATATAGTAGAAGAGAGTGGGGCTGAGGAGCAAAAATGAAGCACTATATAACATTTCAGGAAAGCTTTATAAGGAGAAAACCAGCTGTACTTACGTTTCAAAGGCTTGATATTCCTGTCTCTACTCAAGTCATTGTTGCTTGGTGGAGGAGGAAAAGCTGGCAGCTAAAACAAATGTTTTACATATTGTTAAAGTGTGTCTTCACCTACCCGTTTCAGTTTTAGTAAATTAACCCGCCACATCACATCTGCCAATCTTGGTCTCTGGTATAGCACAAGGAATAGGTCTCTGCCCATTGCAGGAAGGATGGGAGCCATTAGCACTCCTGAAGAATGACCTACATATATAGGGTTTTGTTACAGGCAGAATTGTCTTAATCTGTTCTGTCTCACAAGGAATGAGAGATGTTATCTTCAGGGAGGGCATGAGTAAACAAAATAGCAAAGATAAAAAATGGGAGCTTCAACAATGCTGTTGTGCCTTTTCTCCCTTCAATGCAGTTCGTGCTGGTTTTAAAGTTAGGGGATGTAAATTTGAAGTTGGGAAATATATATTAAGTCTGTGTTACTGACTGTTGCTGGGTCAGACAGCACTGTGCTGTCAGCAGCTGCAAAAGATGTTGGCATCTAAACCTAGATTTTCCAGACAGATGCGTTCCAATGTTGTGGTTCCTACTGCCAAATGAAATAGATGAAGTATTAAGAAGGAAACATACAGAAGCACCTCTTCCCCCAAAGGAGGCTGGTACTGGGGATGGGCCGGGTCGCTGGGGTGGTACTGGAGGCTGTTGCGATGATCGAGTGGTTGGAGGTCTGTCTAGAGGAAACAAAAATCCCAAACTAAACAACTACAGAGTTTGATTCTTTTATTCTCATTAGATCTTTATGAAAAAGGCCCTTGCAATAGCCTGTGTACTTAATATATCATAAATGGACAGTTGCTTCATAATCAGTGGTGTACTGGTAGTTACAGGCTCATGAATCCCTTTGCCTCTGAGGTGGCTCTCTGTGCTAGTCAGCTGGCCCACACTCTTTCTTTTCATTCCCTGCAGTGCAGGGACTGTGTGAAACACGAGCCAGTCTCAATGGCAGGTTTGAAGCCACAACTGCAGGCTGCTGAAGAATCAGGCATGAAAACTTTGCAGGCAGAGAAAGGGACACTTTTTGCCACTTCTGTGAGAGCTTGCTCTGTTCAAGGTTGCATGCTATGCTGATACAATATGCCTGCATGTTTAGCTTCATACAAGCTCAGACCAAAGGCCTGAATGTACACATCATGTGAAACTAGCGAAACTTACCTTTAACCCAACAGAGCTTGTCTGAAGTAGAAAATCTAGCTTCAAAAGTCACAGAGCCACCAGCATGCTGTAAGTCTGTCACTAAATCTTGTCCATGAACTACACGGCTGACTTCAAGAAAAAGCTTTCTATATTCCATTACCAGATAGCTCAAACATGGCTGATAACGCGTGGAAATACCTTTTACAAATTATTAATAACACTTAATTTTTAGTTATTACCTATATAATCTGTGTTGTTTGCAAGTGACTTGGCAGGAAATATGACATTGTGGTGTGCTTCATCATTACTGGATGGAGGAGGCTCATAACCATCACTGTCATGTTCTGCTTCCTCAAGTTCTTCTGTTGGTGATTCATAGTCAGCCTCATCTTCCTGTTCCTGGTCATCATCAGGGCTTTCATAGTCATCATCTTCATCCTGGTAAATGTACATAAAAAATGATTGCTGTACCAGGATACTAATAATCACTCCAGTGAAGTTTCCTTGTGGCTTTTCACTGTGGTGGTTTTCACTCTGGAGGATATAAAGGTTTTACAACCAGTTGGAGTGAAAAACTTCACTGTGGAAATAAAGTGAGGAAAGGAGGCAGCATTTTCTTAACGCATACAGCATTCACCAGCTTCAGAAAGGAAATGAGTATCATTTTATAACAGGAAGTGCAGGTGAAGGTCAAGATAAGGTGATTGCTTGTTGAAATACCCAATGCCTTTGTGTTAGTTAACAGGCAAGGCACCCTGAAAACACACTGGAGCAGCAGTTGATGCCTGTTGGTATTCATTCTTACTTAACAACATGTACTCTGCAGCCTGCAACTCAACCTTGAAAAATGCTTCAGAAAAAATTAGGTCTTTGGTATGGATCCTGGTGCCCTCCACTGACCAGAACCAAACCAGCTTCACACAACTTTCAGGACCTAGTAAGATCACAGTGAAAATATGGTAGTGGTCACTGCACACAACTTCTGTGCAATCTGCCAAGGCTGCAAGGAAAAGAATGCTCAGTTTGTCATTGGTATCTTGGCTGAAATTCTCAGCTTAACTCTGCACTGGGGGGCTCTGTAGTTGATTACTTTTACTTTTTGTGCTCCTAAAACAGCAGCAAATCCCCTGCAAACCTATTAGCAAGTGGGTTTTAAAAATCCTTCCCCATTTTCTGCAAAAAATCAGACTGGCATCAGTCAGATTATCCATTCAGCTGGCTGAGCTGTGGGTGCTTCATATAATGATGTTCACCAAAGCATTTTCTGTGCTGAAAGGCAAAAGGAACTTTTGCAGTCCAATTGGCTTCAGAAAATCAGATTCTTCAACAAATGAGCTGTAAAGGATAAAATGCCAAGACTTTGCCATTGAGTAACACAGCAGTCTTTCCTTTACCAGCCTCCTCTGCAAACAGCTTGGAATCAGTATATAAAATTCCGCAAAGGTTCTGTGGAGACCTGGTCATAGGCTGTGAGCTTCTACTGGAGCCAGTGGTATTGGACTGTCGTTCTGAAGCACTGCATTAAGTTACTGGGGGAGACCCTTTTCTCCATGGAGAGATCTGTGTGCAGTGACTCCAGTCATTCATGCTCCTCCTTCTCTTTCTCCTCATCCTAACACCCCCTGCCATTGCTCACTCCATCTGTACTGTTCAAAGTAGACAAAGTAAGAAGGGATAGACCATATACAAGAGGAAATCCATTCAACCAGTAGGTTTTGTTAATCCTAGTACTCACAAATGAAGACCAACCGCCATCGTCTTGACCTGCATATCCTGTGTAAAGAAACATAACATGAGGCTTCTTAGCATGCACAGCTTTAAACTACCAAAATGTAACTTGACAAAAAGGACACAACAAATCCCAGATTGATTCTGAACCATGATATTATGTCACAGGAACAAGGTAGGTCTTTCAAAGGCAGGCAGGCATGAAAGGTACCTGAAATAGCATTCTGATTATAGCTATCCTTGTATGAGTTGGTGTACAGGCTGTCACTTCAAGTTTATCCTACACTTCAGTTTTAAGTATTATTTGAGGCAGAATGCTTTCAGAATGAGCAGAGACTTTTGATCTCTTTGTTTAATACTATTTTAGCTTTTGTATCAAAAGTTTTTTTTTTATTTCAGTAAGACTGGGGGAACATGGCAACTTGCAGACGTTTTAAGTGCTCGTGGCTGCTTAAGAAAGTGATTGAAATGAAAAGTCAGGACATCTAGAAGCTTCCCTCTCTGATAGAGGGTGCTGTTAGGAGTAGGGGCAAGGGGCAGAGGTGTTGGACAGAAATATATAAGCAGTAATACTTTATGTTGGATTCAAGAAAGGCAGTTAGTGGATGCTCATGCAAATTGCTCTGCTCCTGCTTTTCTTCACCATTTTTTCTATTTTAAAAGTATTTTTTCCTACTGGTTCTCCTGTAACTGCTCTTTATTCTTATTGCAACTGCTTCATGCTCTCGTCATTGCCTGTTTATTGTTTTGGGTTCTGTTCCTTTGTCCCCTCCCTCCTCTTCCCCTCATTTACTGTGCCCTGCAAGGATTAACTTAGTATTTTAGTATTTTAAGCATTTTTTGTTGTTAGAGGCTCTTTGCCAGCTCACACTCACCTGGGGCTTCAGGACTTTTTTGTGTTTGGGCCCTACAGCAAAGATACAAAAAAGTTAAAGTCCTTCCATTTGCCATCCTTAAAAGTTTGAAGCATACTAAAATCTGTTGTGAATAAAGGTAACAGTTAGCTTTAGCAGTAGAATGAACTTTGCATGGATGAGTTTAACTCTGCCCAAAATGCCAAAATCACACTGCTTTGTACTTCACGTACAGGATCCTAATGTAAGCTAAACTGTCTTGAAACAAATTCAAGTCACTGAGCTCAAGGGTTTAGAAACAAGGGGACTCAGAAAATAAATCTAGCAGGGGCCTCAGTGCTGAAAACTGAAACTTTCTTTCCTAATTCCAGTCAAGCTGCTGAAAGTCAAGTTCAGAAATATTTGTAGGCTTGCTAAATATTCTTATGGGTTTCGATTCTAGTTTTCAACTCCAGTAAATGCAAAGGTGTAAACTCACGTCATCAGCTGATGTAGAAACATGTTATATTGAGTAGGCTTAGATGTTCACCACATAGGAACATAAATTGTTCTTTTCTCATTCAGTGTTCTTGCAAGTTTCTGCTCTTTTAGCTATTGCAAGAATATTATAGAATCACAGAATCATAGAATAGTTTGGGTTGGAAAGGACCTTAAGATCACCCAGTTCAAACCCCCTGCCATGGGCAGGGACACCTCACACTAGACCATCTCACCCAAGGCTCTGTCCATCCTGGCCTTGAACACCACCAGGGATGGAGCATTCACAACCTCCCTGGGCAACCCATTCCAGTGCCTCACCACCCTCCCAGTAAAGAATTTCTTCCTTATATCCAATCTAAACTTCCCCTGCTTAAGTCTGAACCCATTACCCGTTGTCCTATCACTGCAGTCCCTAAGTGAAGAGTCCCTCCCCAGCATCCTTATAGGCCCCCTTCAGATTATATCCAATAAGTTATAAAGTATTAAAAAGTGTAATGATCTATAGGACTGCAAAATGCATTAATGATGACTTATTTATGCAGTAATGTGTGCCTAAGCTTTTAGCATTCCTAAAGATTGATTGAACTCTGGTAGAAAACTGTATGAAATGTATGTTACTTGGTTCCAGGCATGGCAGAAGTACCTGCGGTCTTTGTGGGCTCAGTCTTTGCTATTGTTAACAGACAACATTAACTAAACAGACTTGGATTTTATATCATTTCAGGCTATCCCTCTGACCCAGGTATTATTGATCAAATGGAGAACAGGTCAGAAAGGATAGATCTGAAAGCTTTGACAAGAGAAGCTGAATTGGTTTACTTACCATTTTGGAAGGAAAGAAAGCCTCCCTTCATTCCTGTTTATTTCTTTGCTTAATTTACTTACAATTCTAGTTAAAAGAAAGACAAAAAATAGTTAGAAAAATATCCTTGAAACTTGCCATTTTCTGAGCTGCTTCCCCTCAATATTTGCTAAACTAACTAAGAATATTGAATTGATCATTCTGCTGCAAAGTTGCACTATAGCATGCCCAATTGAAAACTGGGCTTTTTTTACAGAGACAAGCTTCCATGTTGTTGGATCAAGTTTAAAAACAAGCATTAAGCCCAGCAAGCCTTAGATGCTTAGGGTGTGCTAGATGTCACGCACTAGAACACTGCTGCTTTGAATGATGGCAACTGAATTTGTGTTATTTTGCATGGAAAAGCAGATAATGCTTCAGGAAACAGCTTCCACCAAGCTGATGGTTGCAAAAGCAGGGTTACATGTCCCCTCTGTCTGCTGTATTATTCTGTCTCCCTCCCTCTACAAGATATCACCACCAAGATACACCTAATCCGGGGTCCCTCCAGTAAAGAAAGTACAAAGGTTGTTTTAGTTCCATGTTATAACACATTTGCAGGGCAGGGCAGGGCAGAAATATAGTGGAATGTATAAAGACTACAGCTTTATGTCTAAAGAGATTTTTCCAAGGCAATGTGTTTGTTGTCACTCATGCATGAGTTGTAAAGAGCAGTAGGGTGAGTATCAACCAAGGAAATGCAATCCTGAGCACAACTGCAGTCAGGAATGTTTACTTCTGATTCTGATTCTGCTGCCATCCACAGCCAGAACAGACATTGGTACTGAGAGTTTTCTCATTGACTCCCCGAGAACAGTGCTGAGGTTGCAGGGCAGGCATCCCTGAGCTGAGTACTGGGAGCTGCTGCTCTGCCATTAATGGAGTTTGCCTCAACACCTTTGAGTTGAGGCAAACAATTTTGTTTCAAATAATGTTTTTGTTTCAAGGAGAGCTTATGATCAGCCATGGGCTGAAACTGCCTTTCTTACTCGCTTTCTTTCTGAGTGATGCCCCACCGAGAAAGTCCCGTGACAGCCAAAGGAAATCAGTTGCATACATCTGGTGAAAAATATCCCATTTGACTTCTAGCTTATATTATTTAGGTCTGTGTGAGACAGTAATTGCGGATATAAAAGTAATATGAAAAAAAAAAAAACATTAATTCAACATGACTGTCTCAGATTCTAAATTCTG